CACTGAAGGTGCCACATCCTACCCAATCTCATAGCACCTATTACGCATGGCTAATATAGAACTGTTATTGCTTTACTTTATTGTTATAATCACACTACGATAGGACTTGCATGGTAGTATGCTTTCTTGATGGCCTTTACCTTGACGTAACCTTACCCCTGCTCACCCTGCTGTTAGGCTAGTCACACGCTCGCTACTATATTTTGTTGCTTATTACTTCTACTACGCTTGCACTACATTGATGCGTGGTGGAAACTGGTGTTATCTGGACTATGGGGAGAGTGCTGCGTGTGTGACTTGGGTGCGTGGAGGGTGAGGGTTGTGTCGACCAAGTTGGAGTATATGACGAGCCTAGGGCAAGTCTTGCCGTGGGATGCTACCTGGGCACCCCTGGAATGGATACCTGTGGTGGGTAAACGGTATATGAGGTGGCCGTAGGTGTGAACCTGTGATGGGAGGAGCCCAGGTTGGAGGTGCTGTGGTGGCACGGTAAATGGAAACCCTGATGAAGACATTCTGGCTTGGTCATCCCTAAGGACTTACTAGTACTCAGATTCACCGGGAAGCCTTACATACCACTTGCCCTATATGGTGCGGGACAGCCGGACTACTGGGTAGGATATTGCCACTACTGCTAGGTTTATAGCGGACAGTATGAGGGAGGTACGGGGCGCGGAGGATTTCCCCCACACCCTTCTGAGACTTCATGGAGACCTTGTGGACCCGGCTCATGACTCACAGTTTCAGCCACCCCAGACTAGACTTGGGGTGTACCAGGGCTGAATGGTAGAGTGGCATTATCCTAGGCTAGCAAGCGGCGGAATCAGCCTAGTTGACGACGGTCAGCGAGGAAGGTGGATCTTGTGGTTATGTAAAACCTCTGTAGAGTGTATGGTTGATCGATCGATACATATGCCGACTTGTCGGCTATGGACCTTTCCTGGGTTTCGCTTAAACTAGATAGTGAGATGAGTCCTTCTTTTCTCCCCCTGGGAGTGAGTGTTCGGACATAGCCAGGGGCTACGGGCCTTGAGACAGTGCCGAGAGGGAGTTGGCCTGTCGACTGAGCGATGGTATGGGTGTGGTATGGTGATGGTGTGGAGATGGTGGTATATCGATCCTAGGATCGAAACCTGGCTCTAGACGGAAATGGGGTGAAATGGGTGTGGAAATGGTGTTAAAACTTGACCAACTATTATTATGTACTTGATATGCTAATACATAGGAAACTCCAGCCTTATAGGTTCCTTTTGATTATATCCAACTTGCATCCAATTTCCACAAAGCAATGCTCATAGGGTGGGAGTGGCCAGTACAAATCGTACTGATAAATTTTGGCACACAGGTTCTGTTGAGGAGTATAGCTCCGAGGAGTTTGACGGTTGAGGGGTTCGTTCCTACGCTCAAGTTTGGTGATCTTATCTTCAAGCTGTTCTAAATGAATGCTACTTTTGATTCCGCCAATGCGGCGATGTAATAATTTATGTAATTCCGCACTATTTATACTCTGATATTATCGTTGTATGGATGTGATATTTGACTGGAATTTGGGTAATATGATCTACAACGGTCTTGTTACACATCGACTCTGTGGATTTCCCTTCGTGGAAATCAGGTCGTTTCACTTCTGGGGGGACCAATGGTGATCGAGGACGGCGAACCATGAATACTTCTCGTGCGTGAATTGTTTTGCTATCGGCGTCGGTTTCCAAACTATCGGAGTTGTTGATAACTTTAGTAGAGGCTTCAAGGTCGCAGATCGAGTCTCATTCTTGGTAGGATAGAATTGTTGTTGTTATCGTGCCAACTAGTTGGGTACCGCTACCCTCAGGAACAGAACCTGGCCAGTGGACGATCCAGTCTTGAGATGTTATAGTTAGTACGAGACCTTCCTAAGCTTCTTTCAGTGGCATTCTGAGCACCGGATCGAGGGACCCTTCGAGCCGTGCCTGATAAGATTTTGCCATGTTGTGGAGTCCGAACGGAAAAGGATCTGACTTCTTGAAAAGACTCGAGTATACTCGAGTTGTATTCTTGATAGGGCGAGGCCGTGTTCTGGAGTCCCACCGGAAAAGAACTCGGTTTCTCGAAAGAACTCGGATAAGACTCCATCTCGGATGCGGAGCCTGAGTTTGAATCGGATGCGCAAAACTACGAAATCTGAGTTGGATTAGACATCATGAGCTGCGTGAATCTTCCGACGAGTTGATCTGTCGTAGTCGCCGAAATAGAAAGGTCTTCATGGTGATCCGAATCTTCGAGGAGACGGCTTTGGAGCTTGCCATTGTTGTCCGCCTCGCAGATCCATGAGCCAAAGATGAAGATTGATCCCATCGAGAAGATCATGTTGTCGAGGTCCGTCGAGCTCTCGGATGCAGATTCGCCGAAAGCCCCTACCTGGCGCACCAGCTGTCGATGTTTCACCACCGATAGCTTGTCACGGGGGTACCCGGGGCAGTTTGTTCGGGCTTCAGCATATGTAGAACTCGACGGTAAATGTAAGAGACAGTCGATTTATCCTGGTTCGGACCCTCGATTGTGATCGAGTAATAGCCCTACGTCCAGTCAGCGTTAGCCTTTGCGTTGAATTGATTGTAAAATCCTCTCTTACTCTCTTCTAAACTCTCGATCTAAGGAGCCCTGCCCTGCTTTATATAGTCAGGAGGCCAGAGTCCTAGTCGGTTTACAATGTAGAGTCCTATTAGGATTATAGGGTAATATTACTACTAGGATTATATGAGAGGAATCCTAATCAAACTAGATCTCCTCTTTTTCTTGCGGGGTATCCCGTGGGTCCCGCATCGACAGGGACAATGATCTGTGGATTTTATTGATAAAGCATGTATGAAAAAATTCAAACCTCCATAATTATAAATGATAATTAAACCAATCCAATTATATTTTTATGAATTATCCGTCTCTATCATTATGGAAGATAATGCCTTGACCCCTAAGTTTGCATTCAAATTACCCATACATGGCATTGTGAAGGATAATCTCAAGTAATCTATACATATATAATTTGTACCTAAATTATCCACCTCAACCATAAAAAGTTAACAAAAATCTCTCAAAACTACATGTAAATACAAATATAAGCTATTACGAAAAATAATTCAACATCCAATAGTTAAAACTTACATTACTACAGTCTACAAATATTTATTTTATAAGCTAATCAAGCGTGGTAAAATATCCTTAATTAGCAAACCACATAGTAATGACACTTACAATTCACATTAAATTATATTAATTCTCATAATAATAAATTCTGTAAGTCGTTGTCTTGAAAGAGTTTATAAATTTTGATTGAAATGTTATATCATATGAATATTAGTAACTTAATTTTAAGCATCATTTGTTTAATAAAACTATACTAATACGATATAATAAATTCAACATCTTGAGTAGCATGGTGCCTGCTAAAACAATTATTTATGCCATTGTAACAACTAAGAGTGTAGCATAGGACCTAGAATATTCTTTTAATAAAATAGAACATGAAAATTTTGAATCAACGATACAATAAGCATTAGAATTTCAAATTAATACATGTAGAAAATAATACACCAACTAGATCAAAAGCTGAAAGTTAAACTATATATTTTCATGATATCACATAAAGGGATGAAATAAGAGTTTATATAATTTAAGTTTATTTATGTTTCAACTAAATACATATGGTTCTAGAAAAAGATTAATCCTAGAAATTATTACTCACAAAACCACTAGAAATTAAAAAGATATATCGTAAAATTCTTATAAAAATCTAAAATATTTTTCCATCAAATCAGTACACTATAATCACCATTGTAAATAATAGCCATTGTATTTGAGAAAATAACCTTAAAATTTGGGGAAAAGAATCAAAATATAGATTCATGTCGTCAAAACAGACTGCAGCTAAAAGCATCATAGTTTAGCAAATGTTTCAGCTAAATGTATATTATAGATACATAGAGGTCTGCAGCTAAAACCATCAAAGTTTAGCGAATGTTTCAGCTAAATGTATATTGGAGATACACAAAGGTGCTATGTAAAGAAAAAATATGAATATGAATGAAGAGTACCTATTATTTTATAATACAGCAAAGAGAAGAGATATATTTAATATAAATACTTTTTATTAGTTAGTGTCTCGTAAGATTCTAACCTGTGCTCATTCTAACCTATGCTCAGGTTGATGGACTAGTTTACTATAAACTAGGTCAAATCGAGCTAATTTGATCGTCATCGATCTCATAGTTACATTCTTTTATAAACAGTAATAAAGAATCAAAACCCTTGATGAACAAGGGTACAAAGTTCGCCAATCGTGCAAACACTGCTTGAAAGTTAAACGTGTCGCCCGTTGGTTGTCAAGGAAGGATGGCCGGTGCCCGGTGGGGGTGGTGGTGACGTGATGTCCAAAGTCCAAAGCCCATTTTTTTATTTGTTTTTGTTTATTGTTTTAAGGGAATTAGTTTGGCTGCAGCTGCAGGATTTGGCGATTTGCACTCCACGGACGTTGCTTTTTGCCCGCAACTTTTGCTTGCCACGACGGAGGCCAAGATCCAGCTCCTGGGCGTCCGTCCTCCTCCATTCCGGTCCTCCCATCCTTCCATCTCCCGCCCGTCCCTCGTCGGAGCACGAGCACCAAAGGTCCCCGGACCGCGTTCAATCTGCTCTCCTTTTCTTCTCCTGTTCACCCCTCGTGCGATAACTGGGCAACCGCCGCTGCCGCCCTACGTCAGGTGCCCAGGTCTTCGTCGGGTCCTTCGCCGGCGAGGCGACGAGCACCCACCAGGTATGCGCACCCCCTTCTCTTCCCTTCCTGCCATTTGATTATTTGCATTCGGATCTGGGCCGATTTTACAAGTGTATTATGCCTACTAAACTAAGAATTTTGTGCAAAATTATTGGTTGTGCATGTGTACACCCATGCCCAGTACTGCTCCGTCCCTGCCACTGCTCGCTTCGACTCCACCACCAGCACCAGGGGATGCCCCGGTCTTAATTGAATGGGCTCTCTTCTCACCAGGACTGGCGTCCTGCCATGGCTCCAGGCCAAGATTGTTGATCCCGTGCTGCAGGTCATCAGAAGGTAGGGACTCCCATCTGCTGCACTTCTTCTCCCAATTGCTTCATTTCAGTCATAATAATAGTTATTAATGCATCCGTCAGAGGAGCATTTCATGTGTCGGTCCATCTGCTTATTTTCTTCGTTATTAAGTAATACGGTGTATCACTATCACCCGTTCAGCTTTAGATACTTAGATAGCTTATTGAGGTCTTAAACAATCTCTGTTGATTTTGGCATTCAGCTTGGCAGTACCCTGATTCTTTGCATGCATGTCTTCTCCATCTTCTTCTTGAATGAGGTTGTTGACAACCTTCTGTTGGAATGCCGTGCAGGGGAGCAGAACCCAAGCAACTGGCCTTCTCTGCCGCCCTTGGTGTCACGATTGGGATCTTTCCAATATGTGGTAAGGTGCTCCCTAGTATATGCATTTCATCGTCCCACTTTCTTATCATGCAACTAAAGCGTGACCCATGTTGTCTATTCTTCTCTTTTTTTTTAGAAGGCATGATTCATTCTTACTCTGTCAAAGTTTCCAGTGACTCGTGTTGGTATTCTGTCAAATGACTTCTGGTTCTTAATTCATCCTAACCATCATGTTATTGGTTGTCACCTGTATGGGAGATTGGGAGGACAAAAAGAACACGCCCCCCCCCCCTTTTTTTTTGCTCTGGCACACCTATAAGTACAACATAAATTTAATCGACTCTAAAAGTTTCCCAAAATTTCAATGGTAGACATGCTCAATCATGCCTGCAAACCAATCCGGCAGTCATGCTTATCACCAATCCTGCATTATATCTAATGTCGCTGTGTAACGGGAAACAGTAACCATTATATCAATTGGCTATCCACCCATATGTTCCTCAAAGCATCATCACTTATCCTTGAGCATTTTGTGATTCCAGGGACCACTGTTATTCTTGGTGCTGTTGCTGTAGCAATGTTGGGAAGTCGTTGCAATGCTGTTACTGTTATGGTTCTAAATTTGGCCGCCACTCCAATTGAGCTAAGGTACACACAGTCAATCTCCTGGTGGCCAAAGCCATACCTGATTGCCTGCCAAGGTCTCAAGTCTCTGTGAGGTCATTGCATAGATCAAGCTTGGATTCTAGTAGTATGCTAGTGACTGTCACACCGCTGAGCCCTATTGAGTCTAATTCTGCTCTGCGTCAGTGATCTACTTTATTTTGCTTTACGATTCAACTGAGACATACTTTTGATATGAATAACCAACTGCACAACAGTGGTGTAGGCTTCTAATCCATCATGTTTTTAATTCATTCGTAGCTACCTGATAAATTTCTCAGTTCACCAGGTTCTTTCTTTCTGCTTTCAATATGTTTGGCTCTGCTAATTGCTTATCCCTTTTTCTGCAGCTTGATCGTCCCTTTCTTGCGTTTGGGGGAAACCATCACTGGCAGTGGGCACTTCCCCTTAACAGCCGACGCATTGAAGAATGTTCTCACTGGTCATGCATCAAAGGATGTGCTACTGAGCATCGTCCATGCGGTTAGTGAACAGCCTTTCCGCAATCAGTCCTGCTCATTCATAGGATAGGAGCACTATCGTACTCTTGCTTTGCTACGACATTGACATAAGACTACTGCTATTATCGACAACAGATGCTGGGTTGGCTTATTGCTGCGCCATTTGTACTGGTCGTGCTGTACGCTGTTTCGTTCCCTTGTTTCAAGGTCCTGGTCAACAGGTTTGGCGGCATTCCTTCGAGCCCCAGGACCCCAATCAAGGCGGTGTAACTAGTGTGGCATGCCAAATACTCCTGAAATTGTGTACACCAAATTCTTTGTGATGCCGTTGAGTTGAGATGGGTTCCGGCATCATGTTGCTCGCCATCCCAGGCACTGGCGAATAAATACAACTTGAGAGGCATGTGTCCTCTGTAATTCTGTATGCTGGCTTGGTAATCATATAGTGAGATGTGTATTTATGAATTTACAAAGTCTTGATAAATAAAGCTAGGAAGCACAAGGGCACGGACCACTGTGCCGTTCTTCCCGTTGTACGGCGTGGGCTGTGTTCAGCTGAATTTCTGTAGGCACTGTACATGCTTGCAGGAATTCAGAGCCAGCTGTTTGAAATTTGAATCATAGGTTTTCATTGGCAAGATAACCTAGCGCTCAAGAATCCTACTAAAATGTACTCCCCTTTTTCCAAGTTATAAGATATTTTGATTTTTCTAGATACATTATTTTATTATATATCTAGATATAGTATATATCTAAGTGTATAGAAAAACAATATATCTAAAAAAGCTAAAACGTCTTATAATTTGAAATGGACGGAGTACGTAATATTGGTGAATAAACATTTAAGCTATTTATAAAGTCTTCATTTTAGTTAAACAATAAAACAGAAACGCTCTCAATTTAGAAAACTATGGCCCCGTTCACGTGTCCTTAAACCCGGCTTTGATCCACTTATTTTTTCATCCGGAACAGTGTTTTTCTCTCACAAATTCCTGCAGCATTCCTCCAAACCATCCAGATTCCTCCAGAATTCAGACAAGCGAACATGCCCATATACCTTTGCAAAAATGCTTTAGAAGTTGTAATATGGATGACCCACTCTTATATTTGCATCACATTGCAAATAATCTGCCATAAGCATTTACTTGTCATATAGGTGTCACCAAATCCGATTCCTACAACTAATTTGCCAAAAAGAGTGGAGGTACCTAATAAAAACCACTCAACTCTCACATCAAAATAAGAAGGGAGAAATACGGCCACATGTGATACAACTTCTTGCAATGTTTTTAATGATACAACATCAATTCAAAAAAAAGTCATATGTTCTTATTTTCCCCCATCAGGTTTTTTAAAGAGGATTTTTTTTGAATCAGAAACTTCATTACTCATTAGACTCAGCCAAATCGTTGGTCACCAAATTCTCGACAAAACGAGGTACATCCCCCCAAGTGATTTGATCATCACTGGGACAATTACACCCAAATGCCGCTAAAGCATCTGCAACTTTATTACATAATCTAGGACACACTTGTACTCTAGCCTCCACAAACTCCGACATCAACAGTAGCCGAAGCTCAGTAATAACCCCGCCCAAAGCCGAAAATCTATACTCATTACTCTCTACTGCAGACTTGACTAAAGAAGCGTCAGTTTCCAGCACAATCTTACTAATCCCCAATTGCACAGCAGCTTTAACTCCGGCAAGACATCCCAACAACTCTGCATGAAAAGCATCAAGTAGGAAATTTGCTTTCCCTGCACCCACTAATACCATCATGCCATGATCATCCCGTATAATGAAACCCCATCCACCCATACCAGTGTTAGGATCGAAAGCACCATCCGAATTGATTTTGAGCTCATCTTGCTGCGGCTTGTTCCAAGTCTGCACCTGTCGAGAATCCGACAATAGACTGGACTGCACCCTTGACTGAAACTTATCTGTCATAGCAGCAGCTATATATGCTAACTCCAGAGCCGATCTTCTTCTCCCTTCTTCTCTCAGTTATTACGCTCGTCTCACCAAAGCCAAAGAAGCAGAATAACAGTCAATTGCATTTTTGCTTCCAACCTAAATATCATCTCCATCATTTCTCTAGCTGAGCCGGCTTCAGATAAACTGCACCGAACAGCCTCCAAGTTCAGTTCCCTCCACACGCCTTTTACCTTTTTGCATTTTAAGAACAAATGACCCCAATCTTCATCTAATCTCCGACATAGGCTGCAACATGTGTCAATTTTCATCCCCCGCCTTTTCAGTATGTTTTTAACCGCCAAAGTATTGTGACTCAGTCGCCATAAAAATGTTTAATTTTCGGAGGACAATCCAAATTCCAAAGTTTCTGCCAGAAATTAGTTTTGCCATTACTACCTTCTGTATCCCCCGGTCGCACTCTCTGTGAGGATATTCAAGACATATAATATGTGACATCTTCTGTTTTCCCCAAAGGGTTTTTGAAAGGATATCAAAGGTATACATTATTCCTCATATTTTTTCCCGTTGGTCTTTTTGGGAGGTTATTCCCTTTATGATCCACAGATCATATTATTGTTCTCGAAAGTTGTTTATGAATGTTTGTCAAGAGGTCTTCTCGTATGAGTTTATAATGAGACAATAACAAATATATTTTGTATTATTTGCTCTTGATTTTTCCATTATGTTTTATAGGAGGTTGAACATCATATCAACATATCATATTTTTTTGAAAAGTTTTGTATGAGTTTTGATAATATATGTTGTATCTCCAAAAAAAATTTCCCACGGGAGTTTTAAAATGAGATACCAATGACATAATGACTTACAAATCACATCTACTGTTCTTTAAACTTGCTTATGGTCTTTGTTTTCCCAAAAGGGTACCATATGAGTTTGAATTGAGCAATAATATAATATATATGCTATATCGTTTTCTCTTTATTTTTCTCACTGTATTTATGACTTTAAAGGGCATATCCATACACTCCTCGGGTTTTTCCTATGAGGGTTTTAGAGGAATATTCAACGCATTGATCTCAAGGAAGACCGGTCAGGGGGTGTTGTGAAACAAGTGCCTCTCTAAATACACCTCATGAAGATGCCACTCCAAATAGATACATCTTCAAGAGTGATCTCATCAAGACTAGAATATGCATTAGCAACTATCTTATACAATTAATATGGCCACCAAAGGGAGAAGACACCCTTTCACTACACCACTTCACCATGTATATATTCATTCATCATATCAATGCAAAAAACACAATTTCTACCAATTCTATTATTTCATTCACATTCATACTTTAAACACAATGGAATCACTAACGTTGAACCGATAGATCAGTCACTACCAGACATGGTACTAAATAGCGGTGGTAGTGGTCACTTACCCCTGACGTAATAGACTAGATTTAGCAAGCTGGAACTTATTAGCGACGCTATTTGAGGTAGCAGGACGCTTAGCGGTCTCCAATTCTTCGTAACAGACGCAATAGTGTAATATAGTATGCAACAAATAACCCTATAGCCCACCTTGACCACCACCCAAGATAACGTATGCATATGGTTACCGCTTGACAACGAAAATGAATGATGGTCTTAGAAACTATTGTATAGCTTTCATAATCTATTTCTTTGTAAACTCTGATACGTGATGACTTATATATAGTGTGTGATACATTATGTTTGTTTTCTTAATTTAAGTATGTGAGACATCCATTCTTTAGGTATAGTTATTTTTTTTATTTATACTTATTATTCATGATATATATAAACTTGAATTTATGTGTGATTATGAGGTACCGTTATTAGAACTTATAGCACCCACTAGCCATCCACAATCCGCTATCTTAACACTAATTTGATACCAACCCGCTATACGCTATTTAGTACCTTGCTATCCGAGCTGAATTGCCTTGTGTCTTTGAAACACCACGGATCAAGTCAATAAGATCGATTAAAGAAGCAAAAGTGGATCCAAATAAGGTCTTATTAATTAGAATTATGAATAGCTTCTGCACTAGTACAAGACTGAGGTTGAAACCGGTGGATGACTTACTACCGGAGCTGAACTGGCTCGTTTCTTTGAAACACCATGGATCAAGTCATCAAGATCGATTAACAAACCAAGCAAAAGTTAAGAATCGACACCACTGTGTATGGCAGTCTTGTACTGGATGGCACGTACCATGAACCGAACAACCTAAAACAACCATGTGCAAACAACCAACACAAAGCAAGTGACACGGATACCCACTCACTAGTGTATCAAATCCACGCGACAAACGCAACTCCAGGTATCTCGGGTCAGTGAACTCACAACGTGCTCCACTACGTTGTACACTCCTCGAAAGCCTTGCATTGCACCGCCCGGGAATGTCCCTGTTTACGGTCGTTAGCCTTTGGCACTCCAAACGCCCGCTACTTCAGTGATGATGCGGCGGCGCCGGCAACGCCGACCCGGCGTGCGGCTTTGTAGGACACTGGTAGCACTTGGCGAAGAGTCCGAACGTGTCGATCTGCTTGATGAAGTTGGTCACGCTGGCCCAGCCGCCGAGGCCGAAGCCGACCACCAGCACCCACGCCACCACGAACGCGTTCAGCACGAACATCCCCGACCAGCTCGGCAGGAAGGACGGCGGCTTCTCCGCTGCGTTCTGTTGCGTTGCATGCAAGAAGCGATGAAAAGTTAGCATCCACCCAGCAAAAACGACGAATCAGCTAGCTAGACACTAGGCAGATCGACATGGCGGGACTGTAGGACATGGCGCTTCGCTTACCAATCTGGCGGACGCGGAGCGGTACGTGAGCATGTGGGCGAGGGCGGGGATGATGTAGACGGTGAAGCTGACGAGGAGCGCGCCGACGGCGGAGTTGATGGGCCCGAAGAAGGGGAAGATGATGGCGAGGAACCAGACGGGGACGACGATGGGGAGGCGGACCAGCGCGCGGAGGAAGACGCTCGACGTCTCGTGCATGCCCACCGCCTTCTCCCACACGAAGTAGAGCGGGGTGCACGCGAACCCGAACGTGATGAACTGGTGGATCAGCATCAGCACCACCGCCGCGTCGCGCCACGGCGTCCTCGGCAGCAGCGAGAAGGCGTTGGAGTGCGTCAGCAGCTGGTCGCCGAACGCCCAGTACATGGCCGCCGCCGACGGCAGCGTCAGCGTGAACACGTACAGCGTCGCCAGCAGGTAGATGTACTTGAACTTGCGAGGCTTCCACATCGCGTGCATGATCTCCCTGAGAAAGAAAGAAATTCTTTACATCCGCATCAGAGGGCAACATG